GTGCATCTGTTAGATACACCTATCGTGGATAAACGAAGGCCTTGAGTGCGCCGTTTGTTCACAACCCACGTATAGATAAAAACACGATCCGTCATCAGTGAGCTTCTCCATGTAGCTTATTCTAAAATCCCTCAACTCTCCTCACTACTAACTTAACTTATGGATGAATATATAGGCTGAACATGAGGAAAATTTTATCCCATCTCCTCCCTTAAATATGATGACCGAAAGTAGCATGAAGAGGTGGGAAAATAATATTTGGCCAATGACTAGCTTCCAAATGTCGTGCCCTAAGGCTTAATTGCACAACATCCTAGCTTAGTCATCCCTAATATGGCCTAGTCATCTCCTAATGTCTAGTAAAATGACACCTCATACTTAATAAAAATGGAGACAAATCTCCTTTGTTCAATGTTCAAATGCTCACGACATTTCTTAAAAATTTTGGAACAAAATTGCTTTAATTGCCCACGGTAATTATATTTCTATGCATGACTAATTAGTAATTAATCACCATCTATATGTTTAATTAATTAACTAAGCATGACACTTAATTACCGAAATTATTCCGAACGTAAACGTGACTTCAAAAATAATTTCGGATATTCCTGACTTGGACAATTAATCCGAATATTGATATTTCGAACAATTCGTCAACTTAACTTATTAATTCCGAACTCATTAATAAAAGAAACGAATCGGAATTAAATCTGGAAACTTATCCGGTTACTGAAATAATTAAACCAAATAATATATCGACTAATAGTCGAACTTAGAATATAACTAGCTGATTAACCTGAACTTGAACATGAACATAATTATTCATTAACAAAGGCTAGCTTAACATTAAAAGCTAGTATTTTCCTTTATTAATAAAACTCGGGGTGTTACATTATAAATGCCTCTCAATGGAGTAACCATTTCCAGATTCACTCGGAAGATTTACTCATCAGCATGGATACAAAAATGAACAAATTGATAAAGAATTTTGCTTACATTATAACAATGCTCGTATCTCTACAGTTCCCGATCATGGAAATAAATCGGGTTTTTTAAAATTTGATGAGTATACCTTTTTCTTCAATTCCCAACCCTCAATTAAAGTTTTCACCAATGCCATCAACAAGCCCCAATCATTCGGGTCCCAAACCCACATGCAAAAACACAAAACAGGAAAAAGAACTAAAGGAGAAAAATTCGCTAATATTACAACCTCTGCATGTCTGTACAAACGTTGCAAACCAGACTCTAGGACTCCAGCCGGGGAGCCAAACCATCTTTCAGTCCTTGGTACCTTAAATGCGCACGGGCAGCCCGAAATTCTGAAAAGTTCTGATTTCTCCTTTAAGGCCAGCAGTTACTATAACCATACCCCATGCATACCTGTTCTGGTATAACCCATTCGAGATATCCACACTTACATGGGGACTTCTGTTCTTAGCAGTTGCCAAAATAAGTTTCTCCTCGGGCCACGTCACTGAGACTTTATCAAAAAGGCCGTTTGTTACACTAGATAAATGTCCATTAAGAGGGCTACTAGTGCATTCACCAGACCCTAATGATGGGCCCTCACTGCAGTTAGTTTCCCCAACCGGTGTAGTCGGATGGTACTCATTATAGACATCCTCACACTCATGATAATTACCATTTTGTCCACCAGCAGGAGAATCCTGGGGGCCCCATTTGTCAGACAGGCCGGGCCAAGGGATTGCCATGGATACATCTTGACAGTGAAAAAATTCGTAAGACTGAGTCACAGTGACACCTTTGGTTCTGTTTGGTCTGGACTCGGCTTCATGTCTCCACACGTAAACATATGAATCCTCACTGGCAGAGATGATGTATTTTCCATTGGACGTGAGGGAGGCTGATATTTGGCTGTTCGTGTTGTGAAACCCTGTTAAGGTTTCAGAACTGGTTCATTGGTCTCTCTAAAGTATCTCAAACCAATTCACAAAATAGTTTATATTAAACCGTACAAGGGATAACTTAAAGCCAATGACCTAACTCCTAGGTTCAGGTACTGAATGAAGGATATCGTGCTAAATCACTTTGTCTCTGCAAGTATATCAAACAAATGAAAGAATTGAAAAACTATTATATTGCATTTTTCTCACCTTTAAACTTGTGAACAAGATCGACACCATCTATTACCCGGATCCGGGAATCTGCAGACGTCACGAGAACTTCCGATGTACTTCCAGGTGCAAACTGTCCAATATAAACTATCCACAACTATAAGAATAAGTCGAACTTGACTAGCTTCCTGAAGAATAAGAATTCTGTGAACTACAAAATTTACGATATAAAGTAAAGGGGAATGGTGACAGAGGGGTCACCTTCACCCCCATGAGTAAGTTCTTTTTAGGCGATGAAATGAATTACCTGAAAACCAGTTATTTTCTTTTGATGAGATTTCTTCTTCTTATTCTGCAGATTGATCTGGCTTTTCTGGAGCAATTTATTTTCTGTAACCGCAAGCATACATATAAACTAGCTTGAAAATACAAAGTTATCCTTAACAAAAATATCATCCCTCACCTGATGTGTTGTACAAACGACAGCTGCCCTTGTACGTACCAACTAGTGCACCCTACCAAAATTTTACAGAAAACATCTTTGAGAACAATCTGAGCATACATAAAGTTCGGACAAATTTCCATCCAAGGGGCAAAGACAATATTAAAGAGGCAATAATAAGTTTCCACTTTCTAGGAACATGTGACTGGTAGCTGACCTGCCCATCTGGTGTGTAGCAAGCTGCAGTTACCATTTCATGCAAATCATTCCAATCAACGACTTGGCGGTCAGGAATGCTCCATATCCGCACCTTGGAATCAAGGGATCCACTGATGAAGTATCTATCATCAACTGGGTTAAACTGGATGCAGGTTACTGTAGTCAAGAAAAAATCCAGAAGACATATCAGTAAATGAACCATATTTGAACTCTATCTTCAGCTAGTTCTATAAAGCCTATGAGATATATATTAAACACACAATATTTAACTATTTGAATGGTAAAGTACATATGAGTTTTAACAACGTGGTGAACTACAACTATTACAAAGATCAAATAAAATAAATCTTCGGAATGTGCAGAAACCAAGCCATCGAAATTACCAAGCAATTTAACTATATGAAACTCTCAACTTTTGTTGAGCAACTTTAATCCTTTGGCCATAACTTTACTATATGAACATTCTACTGCAATCTTTATCATTAAGTGATGAAAACCAATCAAATTAATCTCCAGCATCCTCAGCTAGCATCTCTGAGCATGCATTACGTATACATGGCATCTGAAACAGCTCATTGTTAGAGAATGATCCGCTGCTGATTTTTCAACTTGTTTCATTATATTCAATCAAATAATTCGTCTTTAGGCCCGTAAGGTTAGCATACCTTTTAGGGTCAGGACTATATCCCTATTTAGTAAACTATGAGCTATCAGTTAGACTATCTTTCGTTGAATACAAAGCTATGCAGGAGTAGTTATTTCCTTGATTAATCTGTTGTTTTTATAGCTTACTTCACCCTTAATTCTATCAACTGGTCCAAGCTGCCGGATTTTAAACACATAGATTCAAGAAGTGAGCAGAAGGCACTCCATTTACAATAACCAGAAATGGAATCACTTGAACAAATCGACAGGAAATCTATGCAATTACCATAATCACTATGGGAAAAGATCTTTAAACAAGACTTGCTGGACAGGTCCCAGAGGCGCACTGTTTTGTCCATTGAAGACGAAAGCAGTTGCTGTAGGAGAATACAGATAAGTGTCAGCAAGTTTTCAAAATTCTTGACTAAACTAGACCAAATAATAACAATCTCATCAAACTGAACGCATGTGATTATTAAACTAAATTCAAAATGAGACAGTAAATCGACATAGTAAGTATCATTACTAAGGTATGTGTCGCCATAACCAAATGTGCAAGTACAAAAGTCTTGCATAGAAACTACTAGTTCATGTTCACTTTCTACTACCCCATTAACTATAGGCCCGACATAGCATTATACCACACACTTATGGAGATCACTTACAACAACTGAAGACATTAATCGTCATAAAATGATTTCCTTGGATGAGTCTATTAGGAGTGAGAAACTCAATAGTCACATTATGATCAACCTTCAACATAAGGCAACTCAGATATCTACAAATCAACAACAATTAAAGAAGACTTCATTTAAACCATCACAGTTATTCTATTGGGCCGTTAGAAAAATAAAAGAGAATTTCTAACTCGCCTGAGACTTGGACCATGAGAGATCCAGCACATCCTCTAAGTGTCCGTGAAACGAACAGATAGGTTTATCTGAAAGGCCAAATACAGTCTCCGGCACCAAAATCTGTTCAAAACTCACGGATTTCCTACTTATAGACGATCTCCCTCTCCTCTTTTTCTCCAACTGACCATCCAAATTCGGTGAAATTGATAACGGCTCAGGCGACCCATTGCCTATAAACGAAAGATTGAAATTCCCATCCTCTAATTTGTCGGAGAAGAAATCCTCTTTCCTTTCTGTCTCCACAACCTGCCACACTTGAATAACACGGTCCTCACCAGCACTAGCCAGATATTTCCCATCCAAACTGAACTGAATTGACCAAATCGACCCTTTGTGACCTTGTATCTCTTGGCTCTTGTAAAGCGCTGTCAGCTCTTTAACTGACTTACCATAATGCTTAACCCTGACTTTCTCAGGCCCATGAAAGGAAACATCCTGGCTATCATCAGTGGCAGAGCTTGACCTCCTCCCACCCTTCTCAGAAGACGTGTCCCTCTCATCACTACTCCTTCTCTCCTTATGACCCGTGACAGAAATAGCAACGTTTTTTATACTCTTCAGCCAACTACCCCTCTTCTTTGACTTAGATGCAACCCCATCAGCAATTGAATCCAAGCCCTCCCTGTTTCCATCCTCAAAATTCTGTCTCCTCATTAACTCTTGCACGATTGGTGAAGTCCCAACACACATTTCGGATGTAAACTCCTCCATGGTTAACTGGCGGCCGGTGCCCACTTCCTTGATCTTTTTCCAAGTCCCATCCTCCTTCATCTCGTTCACCATGAACTCTTTTCCATTGTCGAGATTTTTTATCACGCACACACCATTAACGTCATCAGGCCCATTACATTCCAAACTCCCACCCAGATCTTCCTCCCTTACAAGAGGTGGGTGTGCACTACTTAAGCTTCGATTATGGTTGGAAAGTTCGACTTTAGTCTTTATTTTTGGGGGTTTATTGGGAGAGGCTGTACAGCTGGCAGGGGATTTACTGCTGCTACTTGATCTTTCAGTACAACAATGTCTTTGGATACTGCTTCCGTTGTCATTATTTACATCTGATCCAATTCCACCGGTTACCGAAATAGTCGACTGAGTGTTGCGTGACTCAGAGTCCCCATCTGACTTTGACCGTACAATCCCAAAAGCTCTACCATTATAATCACTACTAACATCGCAATCATAAACGTAATTACTACTATCAAGCCTCTTCGAAGTGGTACTATTTATACTGTAAAACCTTTCACCAAGGGGGTTCAAGAGATGTTGCGATGAGAGGGAGAAAGTAAGGGTAGGGCGGCTGCGGATGAGGGAGGGTTCACCGGTGAGACCCATCCGGCAGAGGAGGCGGAGGCGGCGCTCTTCCACCGATGACGGCTGGGAAACCCACACACCGTATTCATCATCTTCGCGGTCGGAATTGGAGGGGGAGCCCGAGCAAGAAGTGTTGGAAGAAGAGAGGAGGCGGTCGAGGGAGTCGTGAAAGCGCTCATTCTCGCTTTTTTCATCCTCTTCCCCGGCTTGGCTCATCGTCTGTGACCTGCCATGGAAAGCCGGTTCACGCCGACGGATCCATTTCCAGCTGCGGGTTCGGATCGGGGCACGGGAACCGGCTCAATGTGTCTTCTTCTACTGTCGGCAGAAGGACACACGCACGTTTAAGGGTGGAATTCGAGAGGTGGGTGCGATTGTGTGGGAAAACGCAGAGATCGAATCGAACAATACGTGGAAGAATAGAGAGAACTCAGATCCGGTGATGAATTTGAGAGAGAGAGAGAGAGAGAAGGGGCTTGCAGTCGTGTGTTGAGATTTGGAAGGTGCTTTTGTTTGGTTTATGAGATGGAGTTATTATTTTGGTGTAAAACCTTCATAAATAATAGAGTTAATTGATAAATAAACCTTAACTTTTTTTGCGTTTGATAAGTTTATCCCAATCTTTGGGTGGGTAATTGCAATATAATCTTGACCTCAATTTACTTATTGCAAGTCCAACCTAAATCTGGTCGAACCTTCAAAAAACTGGTCGATTTGAAGGCGGTTCGAACATATCAGAGCTCATATTTACCGGTTCACTCAAGATCTAGGAGGAGACTCATCCCAGTAGCTTACATCGACGTGGAATTTTCGGCTTTATGCGTGGATATACATTAAATACGTGAAAATTGTCAACTTGCTACGTGGATGACATAAAAACCCGTTTCAGTGGAAAACTTGGACACAAAATCGATTCACAAATCCCTAAAATCAATCACTCTGCACCCAAATTTGCAATAAGTAAATTGAGGTCGAGATTATATTGCAATTACCCAAAAATTAGGATAAAAGTGTCAAACGCAAAAAGGTTAAGGTTTATTTAGCAATTAACCCTAAAAAATACTATAACATATACATTTCTAAAGGAAATGGAATATTTGTATAATTTATTTGTTAAAACTAGTAGGTAGCTTGCGCAAATGCACGAGAAACAATATGAAATAGTAATTATAAATATGAGTTTGAGTTATTAGATGGAGGAAGTGAAAATTACTATTGATCCTCTTAAAAAGACAAAGAAAAAAGAATAACTATAAATTAAAGAGGGCATAAATAATATTAAATAATAATTTCAAATTAATGATGTGGGGTCAGACAATGTGAAATTATCCTGTATAAGAGAATATAAAATTATATGTTTAAAATATTTAAATACCTATATATAATATTATATTAATATATGTAAAAATATCTAAAACTTTCCATATTATCTTTGAAAGATATGAAGTCAACTACAATTTTTTAAACTATTTTGAAAAAAAAAAATATATCAAAAAACATCTAAAATTAACATTTGTCTAAAAGATTTATTTTAAACTATTTTGTAAAGAATACATATGTAAAATTATTTAAATTAACATCTATATGCGTGTATACATATATATATATATAGGGTCGC